TGCCTCTTCTTCCTTCCCTCAGGATTGGCCCAAAGGAGGATTTTTTCCACTGTTCCAAGTGCAATTTGTGCCTCAGCGTGAACCTGCGGGGGAGGCACAAGGTGAGAGCCCTGGGGTGGCTGTGGAGCCAGGCTGTGAGCACTGGTGTCCAGTGACAAGGGGCAGTGGGTGCAAACTGGAGCCCAGGAGGTTCCATGTGAATATCAGGAAGAACTTCTTTGCTGTGAGAGTGCCAGAGCCCTGGGCCAGGCTGCCCAGAGAGGCTGTGGAGTCTCCTTCTCTGGAGACATTCCAACCCCCCTGGCCACGTTCCTGTGTGATGTGCTCTGGGTGCCCCTGCTCTGGCAGGGGGGTTGGGCTGGGGGAGCTTTCCAGGTCCCTTCCAACCCCTGGGATTCTGGGATTCCATAATAAACACCTTGGAAGTGAAAGCTGATGGTGCCCCAGGCCCTGTGAGTGGAGGAGAGGGAAGTTCTCTCTCTACATGCACCCAACAGCAGCACAGGGTGCTGAGACCAAAGGAAATAAACGTCTTGGTCTCCTTTTTAAGGGAGCAAATCTGCCAGTCTGAGCTGCTGTTCCTGCTGCAGGACAGACTGCCTGGTGCTGCAGGACAGACAGACTGCCTGGTGCTGCAGCAGTTCTGGGAGCCCTTTCCTTCTGCAAACTTCCCAGTTGTTTTGTTCCTTAACATGCTGAGCTCCCTGCTAAACTCCCAGAACTCCAAACCTGAACAGGAACAGTGACTTTTCGTACCTCTTTCCTTAACTTTTCCTTTAGCTTTTAGGAAAGTGCAGACACCCCTGCAGTGAGATAACATGTTGTTGTTTGGTTTTGTCTTGTTTTTGTCTCTGCAAAGTGTATTGAAAACGTCTCCAGGCAGGAGTGTCCCATATGTTTGGAGGTGAGCTGCTTCTTCTCACCTCTTGGCTTTGCACCTGGCTGAACTTTTTTTTGACACTGTTTACATTGTCTTTCTGGTCTGGCTACTTGCCTCCAAACAGGATATCCACACCTCTCGTGTTGCAGCTCACGTTCTGCCATGTGGTCACCTCCTCCACAGGTAAAGGCTTTGCAGGTGGCCTGGGAATGCAGAATTCCTGC